AAATATTTTAAATTTATTATTTTACTAATGCTCTAACAATATATATTTAAATAATTGCAAATTATTAATAAAAAAATTTTTTTTATATAAAGACAAAAAATTGAGCTTTTGTTCTATTGTTCTATTTGCCAACACTAAAATGAACTAATAAATCTTGATATCAACTCAACAAATATAGAAGTATTAGATGAAGACGAAGAGTTAGTACAAGTAAAATCTCTAGCCGTCACCACTGATCTGGTTAGACGTATTAAAAAAATAATATATGAATTATTTGCAAAGTATTATAAGGTAAATTTTTAGATACTATTATTTGCACTATAGATTTTGCTCTTCATACCACTTTTTTTGAGATTATATACATCTACGGTATAAATAGTAAAATTTATGATATGAATAATAGTACAGTAAGACCTCTCTAAATACATGCTCTATAAGTATATGTACTATATAAATTCTCTAAATACATAGCATAACTTGGCCCCAACTTATAAGAGCATTATATATTTTGCTCTCTATAAATGCATTCTCTCTTTAAGTGTATATTTTGCTTTTTTTTGACTATGGTCTCAAGAGGGTACATTTAGGGAGGTCTTACTGTATCCAATTTTTAATAAATATATTTGTTTGTTTAATACTTAGATTAAATAAATAATTAATTTAATTTATAATTAGTTTTTTGATGACAAAATATTATTTATGGCAACAGCAATTGATCCAAGATGCAAAAACCTTGAGTTTGAGGGCGCTATATTAAAATTTCAAGATTGTCTTAGATCAGAATATAATCAAATTACAAGTAATGAGGATTTTGAATCATTGTCAAGAGAAGTAATACTCGATTTATCTGGATCATTCATGTCAACAATTTTTGCAGTAGCTTAACAAAATATAACACATAAGAATGTGGTTGATCAATATCTTATGATAGAATCAATTGGACCTTTAGACAATCCTCTTCAGTGATAGTTGAATCACAAAAATGCACTTTCAAAAATTTTAAGTCTTGCTTGTAGATACCTCGCAATTTTGGCAACTTCAGTACTATGTGAATGTCTCTTTTCCCAATATAGAAATATTATGACTAAAAAAAAACACGATTAGCACTACAAACATTAGTAAATTAGCTTTTTGTCATACCAACCAAGGATGATACGATACAATGTTTCCGAATATTGAAGGCTAGCATTATTCATTTGTAAGTATACAACATATATTAAGGAATTGCATATGTATAGTGCAAAAAATCCAAGAACCACAATCACTTTATATAGACAATATATTGGAGATAAGCCAAATTTAGTAGCAGTTTATTTTATGTTTCAGCAGTATACATAGAATAGTTGCTATTAAGTACGTATATATGTACTATTTTTGGCATATAATTTTATACAAAAAGATTATTATTGAGATAGATAGTTTAAGAAAATTGATTGTCAATATCAGTTTATGCATTATTTCTATATAAAGATATTGAAGTTTTTAAATTTCTCGTACCGTACATACTACTTACCAGAAAACTTAAAGATATTACTTTGAATCAAAATAACAAGATGTTTCATATAACAATAAGTAAATTTTACAAAAATTCAATTCAGGTAAGTTTATTTTATACTATATGCTTGGTTTATACTTGTTTAAATTTATCTATACGTATTCATTTTAATATTTAATTATATGAATAGAAGTAACTAAAAATATAAAAATAAAAAAATTGGCAAGCAAATAAAAGACCATTATAGCTAATAATGCATATTATAAGAAGGTTTTAGTATGATCAGATATGAAGTAACTAATGATATTAACACAAAATCGTATAAATATAGCAATTAGGTTAAGAGATCAATAAGAAAGTGTTAAAAATCTGAAACCAATATTAAAAGCAATTTTTTTGTATTCTTATTTATTGTGTTCTTGCTTATTTAAGTTCACAAAAGCTAATCGAATTATTTCGTGAATACAAATACTATCTATAAGATATTAATATATATTTATATACGTTAACATCTCAAACATACTTTAATTTAAGCTCAAATTCAGGTTTGTTATTTTGTTCAATAAATTTAGAGAATATTTATTACAAATTCAATTTCATACTTACATATTTTTTTGTTATTTCGTCATTGCAATTAAACTTAATAGGTGTTTAGATTTAACTTTATATTTGCTATCTTGGTGATGAATATAATCGTATACTTCAATTTATGGCGAATGGACTCTTTATAGTTTTTCCTATAAAATTTACCATATACTTATTCTAAATGAATAAATATTTGATGCATTGTATATTGGTATCTGTTCAAAGTTTCTGGTGCTATATACAAAACTTTTCATAATATGTACTATTTTTTTATTTTGCAATAAAACATTTATCATTCTACTTTTATTTGTGATGCAGAGTTGTAAAGAATCGCATTGATTAAGGGGTAGTCTTTACACATTTATAAAATCAAAATTTCTAATGATTACATAATTGTTTAATTATACCAAACCTCTATGTAGATGTTAAATATTTAAAACACAAAAATATTATATAGCTTCAAATTTGCTTGTCTTCATAAACAATATAAATTATATAAATAAAATAACAATAAGATAGCTTTTTAATTTTCATTTTACAATTTGACTATTTTACATTTTATTTATTTATTTGTTACTTTAGCACTATATTAATTAAATAAAAAAAAATTTGTAATTTAATAATTTGATAATTAAATTACAAGTTGTCTTATGATTGTAACTGATTAAAGAATCGTAACCAGTTAATAAATCGTGACTGATTAATAATTTGTGATTGATTAAAGAATCGTGACCGGTTAATAAATCATGACCAATCAATAATCTGTAATCAGTCAAAGAATTGTGATCGATCAAATATTATGACTGATCAAGTATCGATCTGTCTTATGCATGATTGATTTATAACCAATTATTAAATATTTGACCAATTATCATCTCTAGATATATAGACAAGGTTATATTAACTCTGACACACCAGAAGGCATGAAAGAGGTGATAGCAGATCTCCAAGACTATAAAGAAGTAATATCTGATGAAATAACAAACACAACGATAGAAGAAGAAATGGCAGAATATGCTAGACAAGAGCTCATCTTAAAAGAAATAGCCAATGAGCAAATAATAAAGCTCTATGAAGAGTTATGGTACTATAATATAGGAAAATCGAAGTATACAGAACTTGCACTTATAGAAAGAGAACAGGAGATGTTTCTGGAAGCAATTCAACAAGGAATAGATTTAGTCAACTGTATTATAAAAGAAAAAATTGTTGGTTACTTAGTAGAATTAAGAATAGCTAATAAAATTAGAAGAGTATTAGTAGAAAGGGAGAAACAACATGCTGTATTAAAGGTGAAATTAGAATCAGATTGGAGCAAGAGACTTCAAGAACAAAGAAGAAGCTGACAATGACAGCTCAACAAAATAGCTCTAAATTCTACAATATATTATTTCAAGAAATCAGTCAAGACTACAGCAATAAACTAACAAGAAATAAGAAAAGAAATAAAGGAAAAAGAAAAGATGCAAGTTTAACAAGAAAAAAGACAAGCTGCCAAAATAAAATCAAAGTTGGATATAGGTTGGAGCAAGAGACTTCAAGAACAAAGAAAAATCTGACAAAGGCAGAATAATAATTTAGATTTAAGAACTTTATTAATATATTTCAAAGTATTTGTCGAATTTGCCCTAACACGCCAAAAAAGAAAAAGAAGAAAAATTAAGAAAGAAAAATAAGATAAAGACAAAGGACAAAACATTCCTGGTCTCATAGAGGCTAAAACATTAGACAAGATGCAAGAAAAATCAAGACCCAAAATTATTTTAACAAACCCAGAAGATTGGTTGATAGAGGTAATATATCAAATTAGTATTAAAGATGATTCAAAGTATAATAAGAAAATGTGGAAAAAGACGAAAAAAGATTTTTTGGCGAAATAGATATATGGATTGAAGTCCCAATAGAGCTTGAATACAAATTCGTCTCAAAGTACAACAACATCTAGGCCGAGAGCTATCAAAATTAAAAAAAGAAAAAGAAGGATTCATTATTAGGTATATTAGAAAAGATCTTTATAGTGAGAAGAAAACCAAGTTTCAGAAAAGAAAAGAAAAGTAGAAAGACCAAAAAAAGAAGAAAAGAAGACTTCTATACCCAAAATACAAAAGGAAGAGAACTGAACAAATGGACCATGATCTTGAAATAAAGAAGCCAGAAGAAGATTTTTGGTACCTAAAGAAAAAGAGGAAAAAAAAAGAAAGATACAGAAGAATATTTCTGGAAAAAGCCAACAGATCAAACCTTCAAAAAGAAGAAGAAAGAAGTT